TTTACATTCTAAGCTGCTCCAGAAGGAGGGGGGTCATTATACACAGGGGGGTACTATAGAGCGCGCTTTACGGTAATTAAAGTAAATGGAGGCCTGATCAAGTACTAATTATTTAGTATCAAATTTGTAACATATTGTACTTTAATAATATATTAATAAATCTTCTTTAATAAAACTTAAAAAATTAAAGTTTTATATTAAGCCAAAAAGTGTTCAGAGATTTTTTGCAAAGTCTGTATTAATGATTAAATAATTTAAAATAATGATTAAATAAAAAATATACTTACTAAATCATATAATAAAATATTTTAGAAATTGTTTTTATTCATAGGTCCTTTTTGTATATGATGAGTAATAATACCATTTATTCTTAATTATATAACTTTACCTCATATAAATACACATTTAATTTCTGCATATTTGTTTAAAAGTAAATATCCATAAGTTTCTTAAAGCTATCCTTTCATTTTTAGAAATTTGTCAACAAAAACTAGCTATTCAAGTGAAAATTTTTCTATTTTTATAATAAAAGAAGCTCTGTCTATTTTGTTTTTTCTTTTGCTTTTTTAAAAAGCTATAAAGATAAAAATATAAATAAATTACTTTAAAGTTCTTTTTAATATTATTATAATGCTTTACCTTTTTTCTAGAATATTCAAAAGAATTTAAAGCATGACAAATAGTTGAAACCTTAACTAAAAGATTACAAGATTTACCATATAAATACTTTTGTTATATTTAGTTATTTTGGCTGCTAATTCATTCAAATACCATTCAGATTTTTTTGAGTAAAAGTCTATGTAACTTCTATATTAAGAAAAGTTTTAATGTTTAATATTGTAATTTAATCGAAATTCTTATTTGTTTAAAATTAAAGCTTATTATAAAAAATTCACGAGGTGGTCTCACAATTTTGCAATCAGCTGTAATTGAGAAAAATAAAGTAAATTTTTAGTCCTGATCACCGAGTGTTCGATTGCCAGGTGAGAAAAAAGTTTATTTTTTTTAATAAATTTTTTAACCGGATGTGAAACATTCATAAATAATTTTTTTTCTAGGACGGCCTGATCAAATTTTATTATGAGAAACTAAACCAATAAGATTATTAAATCCAACAGAAATTTTGTTTTTAACTTCATTTGGCCTTGTGTAAGGTTTCTTCTGGTATAAGCTCACTAATCAAACGGTTGTAAAAAAGAAAATTTTTTGAAACATAATGCGGGAAACCATTTTATTTATTTATCCTTAAAATATTTAAATATTTATTTATTATAGATTTATTTTAAAAATATGCAAGTAGAAAAAATTTTTTTTAATTTAATTTATATATACTGTATATATGAAATTTTTTTTTTAGTCACCCATCAAAATGTAGTAAGTTCTTGACGGTTTCACGTGAGGAATTACAATTAAGCGTGATCATCACGTTGTTTAATAGTGTGCATGATTATGAATATACTGTATATATATGATCCGACAATTTACATCGGAAAACACCGGAATACGAACCATAATTATACTCCTGTATTAAAACAAATATCCGATTTGTAATTGGATTTCATTGCATCAAAATATTTTTCAAACGCAATGCTACAAAAAGATGAATATAAAAAGGACGAATTTTATTGACCCAACGTGGATCATTTTTGATATATCAGAAATCTACAGACCCCCCAAAAGTATAAAACTAATAACCAACCATTCTTTTTCAATTTAAATACTAAAATGATAATGGAACCTTATAGCAACTCTTTTATAGTAGAAGCGACAAAAAGAAAATTTAGTTCTTCCTCATTAGATTCAAAGATTCATGTTAAAAAGAAATTTACCGATCAGTCAACGAAATCTAATTCATCAAAAGAACTAAATAAAGGTATTATTAAAGTTACTTCCAAAGAAAGAGAAAATTCCATAGTGACAAATTTTCCAACTTATCTAATATATCAGATACCGCAGCAAAGCAAAATTCTTCTGATAAAATAATTGATCAATTATCATCTTTTGATTTCTCTTTAACATCCGAATCATTCTCTGCTGAATCAAACTCAAACTCAAACAGTCTCATTTCATCAGATATTCCATCATTACATAATAGCTCTACAATAAGAAAACATTTTTTAAAAAATAAAATTAATAAAGGTATAATTTCCGACATAAACACTTTAATGGATGACGGAACTAATTTAACTGGTTATGTTAGGGCCAATCCAAAACGAGATCGAGACTATCATAATTTATTTAAAGAAATTCCACCTAACGAATATTTGATTAATGATTATGGTTGCGCTTTACAAAAAGAAATTTTGGCCCAAGGAAGAATTTACGTTTCTTTAAATTATATTTGTTTTCACGCAAAAATATTTGGTTGGGTCACCAATGTAAGTATGAAAAATAGAATACGATATTTTGCGACAATGAACATAAATTGTAACTTTTTTTACCATTTTTGTAGACGGTGTTATCGTTCTCGGATGTAACTGCAATTGAGAAGAAAATGACCGCATTCGTAATTCCAAATGCCATTCTAATATCAACTAAAAAAACAAAGGTAACGAGAAATCTCTCTCTCTTTTCCTCCAAGTAAAATAATCATTCAACCAAATTTTTCACGCTTCGATAGTATTTTTTTGCATCGTTTCTTTCACGTGACACGGCGTATGAATTATTCACGAAATTATGGAGGCATTCAAAGTCAAGTAATAATCAAAATTATTTGCAAGTTGGACATCAAAATTCTGATTTAGAGAAAACAAATGAAAAATGTAAGGGAATGTCAACTTTTTTTTTTAATAAGATCGTATCAATTCGATGACTAAACTCTTCAATGTAATTATTTACGTTTATAGTACTAGCGATAAGTTTATTAAAGAATAAATTAATAACAAAATTATCGTTGCCGAATATTAACGTCAAAAAACGTGATATGAATCTCGCTGTATTTGCTGCAGCCTCAGATATTTCAGCTGAAACAGAATTTGTAAATAACGAACATTCAAGTTACTCTACGCCAACTACTCCGAACGTATGTTATTTGAATCGAGAGCTTAAAAGATCAAAATCAGATGAATTTGTTACCAAATCTTCATTAGGCTTACAAGACAATAAATTAATGCATCAAGGAACAATTTGTGATTGCTTAAAAAATAACCAACATTTTGATAATATAATATTAGATACTAAATTTAAAGGAAGTGTTGAAAAAATTTATAATTTATTGTATACAAGTGGATTCATTACCGAAATTCTAACAGATCTCGAAAAATCTGATGGTGTGTATCTTTGAAGTGACGTGCGTATTTATCAAGTTACCTTCTAATTAATTTTTGTTTTACCACAAAATTATATTCAGATAAGAATATCGGTGAATGGACTGAATATAATGGCAACTTAGTCAGACAATCCAGCTACACAAAACGATTAAATAAAGCTATTATCAATATCGGTAAGTATTACATCTTAATTATTAAATAAATTGTTATAAAAATCTAACTTTATCAATGGTAAATAGGTCCAAAAACCACGAAATGTTACGTAAAAGACGAAGTTTTACATCGAGATTTCGAAAAGTAGTGTGATAATTGCCTTTTCCTTTCTTTTTTTTTATTTGATAAAAAAAAAAAATTTAAACACATTTTTAATCTTTAGATATGTAACAATAATGACATCAACGAAAACACCAGATGTACTTTCAGGCAATGAATTTACGATAAAAACAAAAACATGTATAATGTGGACTGATTCAAATAAAACAAGGGTACTTGTAACTTGCACCTTTGAGTTTTCAAAACCTACGCGGCTTAAAGGTAAATATATTTTCTTGCTAGGTATGCTAAATTACTCTTCGTTCTTTCTTTTAAATTAATTCTTTACCTTTTGTTAGCCTCAATTGAGAAAGCATCATTGGAAGATCAATTAACATATTATAAAACAGTAGAGGCAGCTGTACGCAAATATATTTCACAAAATCTTTCAGAATTTGACACATCGCCAACATCTTCTTCAATATTTATCGAAGAAGCTAAGTTTGAAGAAGTGGACAATGACGATTTTTACACGATAAAACAAAAATCCACAAATAACAAGAAAACGTTGCACTTGAAGGAAGAAGTAACAACTACTACATCTACACTTACTAATATATTGAGTATTATTAAATTAAGAGTTTCAAATATTGAAACCATTGTTCTATTAGTAATCATATTAACATTAATAGTTAATGTATATATGGTAATTAGTTTAAAAGATATTACGCATCACATTAAATCTATTGAGCAAAATGAAGCGGTAAATGAGGGTGGTCAAATCAGAATTGAATTCGATAATAGTCATTATACTTTGGATGAATGGCTAAATGAATTGAGGAAACGACAATTGTTTTCTATTTTAGATGAGATCTTTTGAAAATAAACGATCAAATTAGTAAGATTTCTAAAACTAGTTCAGCAAATAGCGTAGAATGTATTCTGTGAAAGAAGTTCTTGATCAAGTCATTTCCTCATCTATGGCTGTATATTATTGACGATGCTATAATTATGAGTATTATTATTAAACAAAATTACTTATTTATTTATTTTTTTTTTTAAAAAAAAAAAAAAAAGAGAGAATAAAATTTGCAAATGATTAAAAATTAAGATCATATGTTACAGAATCAATTGTGAAAAATCAAACGAGAATTTTCACTAATTAATTTCGAAACTATAAATTATTATTCACAGTATGCTTGAATAGATTTGTATAAACTTTGTTCAGGTTCTTTTAAAAGCTTTATTTGATAAATTTGGTAGATTATCAGAACGTAAAATATGATTTGGAATCTTTGGTATGTAAGGTACTATAACCACAGGCAAATGAAGCCTTTAAACGCGAGGTAACGACGCAAAGTTAAACTTCAAAAGCCATTCATGATTTATAAAGTAAGCAATTGCTCGAAATTATCTGCCCTAAGTTATAAACTTTTAACATTCGCATGTAAATAAAATGCTCCTTATGAATAATGTCGCCAATTTTTATATTACTTAGTTTTGTTGTTCTAATTACCCCTTAACATTTTTTCCAATAACATCCTTCAATTGATCTGTAAAATGCAAATAATTTAAGCATTTTCTTCGACTGAACCGGAAATATTTTTTGACCGAGAACCTTGACCACTATATTTACGGTTAATAATCCTGCTACGGTTTGGGTTCCTTTGCTGGGAGCAGGATCATGCATTTCTTGCCTTGCCTGGTGTTTCGATTGTACTTCCAGGAATCCTTGTTTGTAATTTCTCCATTTGAACTGTCATCTTCTTCCGTTAGTGTATGTTCGCCTTCCGGCTCCTTAAATTCAGTAAACTTACTTTTTGGTCTTGAGTGAGCAACCTTTCTAAGCATCAACTGACTCGCTTCCAGCTTTTAAAAAATTTTCTTATAGCTTGGTTTATTGATCAAAGTTACTAGAACAGACTTACTTTCTGTAATTTCATGATGCTCTTAAAACAATAAAATCTCGTCGCGTTCCTCGTAGGCTATCCACTTTTTACTGCAGGTATATTGGCAGAAGCTATCAACTCCTCTTCGAGCGACTTAGTTGCATGATGAAAATTTTTTCGATGTATACATTAATGATCTGATTATTTGGATATGTAATCTATGTATGTAATGATGACTTTAAAAAAGGAGTAAATCATGTGTAAATGCGCCGTTCCATTTGAATCCAGCTTCCCATATTGGGCGAAGAAAGTATAGACGCGTAATCAAGACCATCGAGAGCTTATTTACATCACGGAAAGGAAGTAACCATAGATTGCGCAATATCTGAAAAGTTTCGCGAATTCAATTCATATTTACTGACTTATCACTTATCTGGAACCTGGATATGCTCAAGAAAAATCGGAACGCAGACCTGGCGTTTTATTCTGAGTATGAGACGTTTATGTTATTGTCACAACAGATGAGGAGAAATGTTTGGAATTTATATTTTATTCGCTTATGCAATACTAATTATGGCTTTGCGAAACTAGCCACGACTGTATTTCATTATATATAAGCACCGAGGCTATCTACTGTACGAGCAAGGTCGAGTATCGAATTTCACTAACAAAAGACGCCTCAGCCGCATTGCGTAAGAAAGTGAAGAGGACTTTTAGAATGTTTGCTTTAGCAAACAGGTTATAGTGGGTTTGTTAAAAAAAAAAAAAAATAGGGTGTCGATGAACCCGCAAGTAAGAAGCGTCGTGCGCTTGAAAAAATCAAAGAAATAATCGTGTATATTATCATTTATAAATAAAATGTTTCCTAAATTATAAATTTTAAAAATTAATCTTACATAAAATATATTAAATAAACTTTTACTTTATATCTTAAATCAAAAATAAATTAAAATTTTTTATATTTGTGTGTAATAATAAACATTTATAAACATTCCCCAGCGTAACTGAAAATTTTCATTTCGCATAGACATATATTATCCTTCGCTTTGTTCCGGATAATAATTAAAAAATTTGTT